GTACATATATACACAAATGGTATTGAAATAATTGCTGGAAAAGTGAGGAAAAAGGATACATAAAGGCAAAAACTACAGAATGTCACCCCTTCATCATGTGAAAATGAGCTGCACCAGAGTAAAGTATTAATATCTTACATTTAATTGTCATACAACTAATCAGAAAGTGTTTCACCAATATAAAGCCTGTAAAAGTACAGAAGGCAGTCATATTATGCCCACTAGCAGCATTCTTTCAGTTGCTGCTCCCAAGACTGAAATGTTGCATAATAATAGTGTAGTAATCAAGGTTTTGATCCATCCGGGATACTTCATGCAAAAAGTTAGCAAGGTTCCGTGTTTCAATTGGAGCTGTATACAAGATTACAGAGTTTGTGAAACTGACACTGTTAATAATAGAAGTGAAAACCATCAGTAGTGATGCTAAGCATCTTGGGATATGTTCTTTGAAATAGTTGATGGTGAAGTACACATCTTACCAACAACCTTGTTGTAAATACAGGTGTAGATGTTATTTTAAGAATGATAATGTATACATTAGCTGAAGAGGTCACAGTGGACACATAGCTGTTAAAAAAACCATTATTGAGAATAATTCATCAAACCCAAAGGTTGAAATGGACATCAGACCACAAAACAGTGGAATGAACAAAGCTGGAGAAGTGTGCTCTTTTTAGATGAATCCAAGTTTAAAATGTTTGACAATAGTGATAGTTTCTTCATTCGCAGAGATGAGAACAGTATCATTGTCAATGTACAACATCTATAAAGAAGCATGATGGAGATAATCAGTAAAAGTTTGAGGTTGCATTTCAGTCAACACTATTGATGATCTACACAAAGTTGATGGCACCCTATCTGCTGATTTTGATCCATTATGCCATTCTCTCAAGAACATGACTTGTATGGAGGGGTTTCATCTTACAGCAGGACAGTGATAACCCCAAGAGTACACAAATTATAGTGATACAATGTTTGATAGAAGATTCACAATCATGGCTTTGACCTGCACAAAATAAAATCTTGAGATTCTTGAGGCTATATGAATTTATGCAAAAAGTGAGTAGATTGAAAGGTGACCAAAGGATATTTGGAACAATATTTCACAATTATACATTGATAAGTTGTATGGCTCACATACAAAATAGTAGTTTTACTTTTGTATTTTCTGCAATAATGCTTTATTCCGTTAATAAATTCACTAATTAATTGTCATTACTCATTCCTTGTGACTCCTGTATGTGTATCACTTGTGTATTTTCATAATTATTATTATTACTGTATATTCATACATACATATGCATACATCATGAAAACATGTATACATGTACATAGAATTGGTAACTCTATATCTGTGTGTCATACCACAAACATACTTAGCACACTGTCAGGATTTTTTGTTGATAATATATTATTCTTACAGGACTTAAAGAGGTATGTCTTCTACTATTGGTTTGCCTACCCAGCATTGATACATCCAGAGAAAGTTGTCTTACTTAGCCCCCCATTAAGCTTACAGAACTGTTTCACTGCTGACCAGGTAAGTAACCATTGATCAGTTCAATTCTTTGGTAATGTAGTAAGAAGATGACATAAACAGACAACTTTTTTAAGTTAAAATTTTCTTTTTTATTTGCAATCTTTGATTAGATAGTAGTACCAATGAGGTACAAGTTATTTTGACATTATGTAATAACACAACCACATGTTATTGGTAATATTTCAAGCATCTTTGTAATAGATATTCCAGTCTTTATCATAGAGAACTTAGTTTACATAGTTATTTTCTAAAAGCTTTTTTACTTGGTTAGCAATCATATCTGAAACTGAACTGCTCTGATTTACTTATAGTGGGTATGTATATCTACAAGTATAACTGTAAACCTAATTGATAAATGACAAAGTATTTGGTATTAGGGTTAACTAACTGTTTCTTTACTCTTATAACCAACTTTTTGTTATTACCATTTGCTCAATTTTTTTTACAGTTTTAATGTGAAATTACTCATGGATGTAGATGGAAATTTTTTAAAACTTCCATACTTAACTATTATTTGCATATGGTCATGAACAGTGCATTTCAGAAATCTCAGGGTTCTAATTAATCCTAACTCCTAGGTCCTGTACACATGAAATTTAATCCCCCCCCCCCCCCTACTTACCAAATACACACTGCAAAATGCCCCATATGCAAGGCAGTCACAAGTACTTTGCTTTGAACTTTGTACCGTAACAAACTAAACAGCATGCAGTTTGCTGTTCACAATCAACTTCAAACAGGTTTCATCAATGACAGTAAATTGCATAAAATTAAAGCCACGTGAAAGTAGCACATGATTAACCCTTTCACTTTGGGTAGGTCAAAGTTCGCATGTCACAACCTTCAGGGTGCATGCATCCTTGAAATTGAGAATGGAATTTCAAGGGCTTGAAAGTGCTTGAAATGAGATTTTTTTTGCAAAAGTACTTGAAAATATTATAATAGCAGAATATATTGATATATATATATATCTAACTTTAATGCATGTTGCCAAGTTGAATGCAATAAATAAAGCCTTTCATTTCTTTTTAGCCACATTCATATGTTGAACAAATAGATAGGAAGTTTATAAAATTTCAGTGGAATCTAATTGATTTTGATGTACATTTTAGCTTCTAAAAAAAAGTGCTTGAAAAACATTCTGAGAGTGCTTAGAAAGTCCTTGAAAAGTGCTTAAAATTGATTTGAACAATTCAGTATGAGCAATGAACCTTTCACAGAGGTACATTCAAAATTTAAACTATTCTATTAACGATGTATATGAATAAATTCAACATCAGAAAGTAAATAATAAATCAAAGTTTAATATTATTTAAGTTTTTAATTTTATAAGGAAATATTTTTATAAAATTCTCATTCTCCTATAGTATGATAACTGTGATGTTTGTTATCTGTATTCACTTTCCTCTAATTTCTTATCAACCCTCTAAGAAGTTTGAAATTTAATGTAAATTACTTATTATAAGGTATTAATTTGTCAGACAAAGCATTTACATAGCCTTCAATCTTATTTAGTAACAGAGCAATCAAATAGAAAATCAGACCCCTCTTGCCATGCCCACCTGACACATCCTCTCTTTCAGAAATTGCCAATAGTTCTCTGACATTAAAGACAGTATTATTTATAACCAATAGAAAGTATTATATTATATTGATGTATTATATTACATTGTTGTTTGTACAGAGAATTGTCTATTTTCCTTTCCATTCAAACTTTATTCCCATGGGAAACACACCAGAGCTTAGCTGAATTTTTAATGGCTTTTGTCACACAGTTAGAAAGCCAGAATAATTGTGATAGTTATAGAACATTATTTCTTTTTCAAGTTTTTGCATGTCATCATTCTGTGTTCTTTGTTGCATTATTTAATCAAATTGAAATTATTTAATGCAGTAGTACAATTACTATATAAAAAAAAGTATGGTTAAGTTTCATCAACAGTCAAGAGTAAAAAAGAACAAACCCAGGTACTTTATTTCTTGTTTTTCATGTGAATTCTTTATTTATTATTATAAAAGTAACTAAAATGTCAAAACTGAGTTTTTAAATTAGATAAAGTAAAATAGATAATATTATTAATAATAATTTTTTATGAGGTATGCTTGCGAGTAGTTTGTGTGTTATGTAATTTGATACCGTAATATGAGCTGCACATTCATCACATGATTTGCAATTTATATGGCATGAATAGTAGTAGTTAGACATTGTTTAAAGAGCAATAAAACAATAAAATTTAAGTATAAATAGATGTATACTGTTACAAGTTTAAAGTTACTTAGGATAAACAGTTGTGTTTTTCTGTTACAATGTACAGTTATTCTAGAAAGAAAATAGGGGAAATTTTGAATTATTTCCGAATTTTTTATTGTGGTTATGAGGTCAGTCAAATCAATCAACCTCATACAGAGTTAGGATAAAGAAAATAACAGATAAAATATAAAGTGTTTCTGAAAACAAAATCATTTGATATTTATTTAGGAGGTTTTAGGGGTTATGCAAATGATACTTGAAAATTTTCAGATGAAGAAAACTTTTTTAATCTTATCATGAAAATTACTTTCACACAAAGGCAAATAACATGCAGTGTTAAATGTAAATATAGCTTTTCATTGAACATTAACATGCTCTTTTCTGTTGCAGAAGGTAAACATGTAGTTTACATTGTAAATAAAGGTTTTTCATTGACACTGAAGTGTGTCATGATATAAAAGACTATTTAGTTTAGATATTATTGATTAATTTATTATGGTGAGTGAAAATTTTATTATTGTTTAATTTTTATTATAATAAGAGTTAAAAGCAGACGATTGTAGGAAGTTGTGTTTATAAGTCATTGATGTTGAGACTATCGAACATCATGTGCAATATAGAGATTTCTAGGAGGCAGACAGACGATAGCAGAAGAGAGTAAAGCTACACACAAGGAAAAGTTTAGCGTGAAGTTAACTATTGTAGAAGTGATAGGCCTAACAATTAACATAGGCCCAATATTTAATATGTTAGAGTAAGACTAACAGTAGAAAAGAAGATAAGAAGAAGAATTATTCCATCAAAGCATGGTTCTAAAGTAATTGAATCAGCCTGAGTGCACTTTGACAGAGGATATTTTGAAGAAAGAAGACCAAATGATTACGGTAACTAGAGCCACAATTATAAGTGAATTACACGCAGAATACTGGTGCGATAGTAATAGAGAAGATAGTTCGGCTTGTCTACTGAAACTCTAAAGCAATTGAATAAGCCTAAGTGGCAATTTGACAAGAAGAGAACTATATATATATATTGTTATGACAGCGGAAGTTACGTGACGCTGGTAACATGTGATGAGTTTCTAGAAGAGACGAGGTGTACGCTTTTATAATATATAAGACCGCCAAGAAGTAACAACAACAATTGCATTTTTTACTGCCCAAGACACAAAGATTTAGTGTCTTACATTCAAACTTTTATTAAACTACTTTTTGTTTATATTATACCATATAGTATAGCATAAAATCTTAGCTAATAATCCATATTTTAATAATATATAAGTTTTAAGTTCTTAATGCTATAAGGCAATATTTTTAAAAATCCTGAATTTCCCCTAGTGTGACACATGCGACACCTTTTCTATAGGTATCTTCTCCTCTCTATTTTATCCACCACCCTCCAAAATGTATGACATAAAACTTAAATTACTTGCTGTAAAATCATCATTGCTCAGACAAACCATAATTTTTATAGCCTTCAATTTTGTTTGGTTACAGAGCTATCAAATAGAAACTCAGACCCCCTCCTGCTACACCCACCTGTCATATCCTCTCTTTCAGAGTTTGTTAATAGTTCCCTCTTACATTTAATTATATATTACCTATAACTAGTAGGAAGTCAAGGTTTTCATCTATCAAATGACGTATTGTATAAAGTTGTGTTCTGTACAGATAAACGTCAGTTTCACTCAGAGTACAAGCTTTGTTTCCATGGGAAAGTTAATGACTAACTTGAATGAATTTGTAATGGCTCTTGTCACATAGTTAGAAAGCCAGAAAATTTTAGAGTTAGGAGAAATTGTCTACTTTTTTGGATGTTATTAGTCTGTGTTTTTTTGGTGCATTATTTAATTAAATAAAAATTATTTAATGAATTACTACCATTCATATAAAAAAAAAGTAGGGTTAAATGTCATTGAAAATCAACAGCAAGAAAGAAAAGATTGGGAAAGTACTTAATTTCTTGTTTTTCATGTTTATTCTTTATTTATTATTATAAATGTAATTAAAATGTAAAAATATGGATCTTTTTAGGTTAGTTAAGATAAAATTAGATAAAATAAACAATAATAATATAATAAAAATGTTTCATGGGGCATGCACATGAGCAGCTTGTAGTAGCTCATGGGTAATGTAATGTGATAGCATAATGTGAGCTGCATGCTCACTGAGTGATTTACAACTTATAATGGTGCATTTCAAAGGGCTATAAAACAGAAAAATTTAGTTATAAATAGATGTATACTGTTATAAGCTTAAATCTACTTAGGATAAACAAAAGTAGTTTCATGTTACAATTTGAAGTCATTCTTGAAAGTAAACAAGGTTAATTTAGGTTTATTTCTATTTTTTTTTTTTGGTGGTTACAAGGTTGGTCGATTGACTGATCCCGTTTTGAGATAGAGTAGAGAAAATAAGTGATAAACTATAAAGTTTTACTGAAAAAAAAAACTTTGAAATGCATTTAGGAGGTTTTAAGGATTACAAAGAGGAAATTTGAGATTATTCAGATGAGGAAAAAGTCCGTGTGCAAAGTAATTTTCATGTTAAAATTAAAAATAAAATAAAATAAAGATTTGTCCATGAATATATTGAGTATTTGTTTTGAATAATTAAAAATACTTCACTAAAAATGTGTATTTTTTTTTTTTTTTGTATGTGAAAGACTTGTAATGTTAACTGAAGGACTACCAAATTTTGTGAAGATATACACACTATATTGAAAGGTGGAAGTATTAAATGTATAAAGACTTTAAACAAGTACAAAGAGGTCACATGGTCAGTCAAGTTGACTGAGACTGTGTTGAGAGAGTTAAGCATATAATATGTACAAAATGGTTATGAACTTAGTCAGTTCAACCAAGCCCATGTGGAAAGTGTCATAGCACATAATAGTATACATCTGTTTATACTTAATTTTATTGTTTTATTGCACTTTGAACTGTGTGTGACTAATAATCCTGCAACACAAGTTGTAAATCATTTGGCAAACATTTAGCTCACATTACTGTTTCAAATTATGTAATACATGAGCTGCTTGTGAGCATACCTCTTGAAGAATTTTATTATGTTTTTTTATTATCTTACCTAATCTAGACTAATAAATTTCTAATCTTTACATTTGAGTTACTTTTATAATAATAATAAGAAATAAAGAGTATATATGAAAACAAGAAATATAGTACTTATCTGGGTCCTTTTTGTTTTGCTATTGACTGTCGATGATACTTAAGTCTACTTTTTTATACTAATAGTACTACTAAAATATGTGATTTTTATTCAATTAAGTAATGCACCTAAGAACACAGAATAATAACACACACACACATAGTCTTTATAACTATCATAATTTACCTGACTATATGATAAGAGCCTTTACAAATTCAGCTAAGCTAGTCAATGTTAATACCATGAGAAAAAGTTTCAAAATGAAGGTGAAATATGCAATGCTCTGTACAGAAAACCATTGAATATAATACAATTGACCAATGATACAATACTATGATACAATACTAACAATGCTTGAAAAATATATTATTGATTTTGTTGTAACTGCTTTTTTCATAGAGATTTTTGATTTTCTATAGGTTAATAATATAACATAAAACAGTAGTGAGAATTAAGGGCAGTTTGTAAAAGAAAGGATGTAACAGGTGGACATGGCAAGAGGGAGTGATTTTCTAGTTCATGACTCTGTAAGCAAATGAGATTGAAGACTATAAAAATTATGCTTTGCCTTGTATTATAATGAGTAACTTGCATTACCATACATACTTCTTAGATGGATGGTAAATATATTAGAGAAGAGTGAAGACCTATAGAGCAAATGTCACAATTCTCATACTAGGGGAGATTGAAGATTTTTTTAAATGTTTCGTTTTAAAATGAAAAACTTAAAACTTATATAATATTGAAATTTGATTCATTAACTATGTTTTGATGCTAAGTTTACTTATATACAATGATAATAAAGCAGTTTATTTAAATATTAAGTGTATCTCTCTAAAAGGTTGTGACAGGTGCACTTTAACCTACCCGTTAATTGACAAAAAATTACTTGTTTCACACTACTGACAATCATTGGTTGTGCCAGCAAAGATCACTAGCTAAAGTCTTAGACTTACAACTATAATAGTATGAGTTGTTAAAAAGTGACTTACTAACAAGTGCTAGTGGATTAACCCATTTATCTCGGTTGGTAGAGCACTTGCCTGGTATGTAAGGGGTTTCTTGTTTGAATCCAAACTGAGAGATATATATCAGGGAAAAATAAATTACCACATTGGCACCTAACTTTAGACCATTACATGAACCTGATATAAGGCCTTGTTTGCAATATAGGGAAAATGTGGAAGCTTGAGTTGTTAAAAAAAGTGCCATATTAGCCAGTAATAATGGATAAACCCATTAGCTCAATTTGTAGAACTTTCACCTGGTGTGCAAGAGGTCTCTGGTTGGAATCCAAACAGAGAAAATAATATATATATAATTGAAATTATCACAAACAAAATTGCCACCAACATGGCTGTATCTAACAACCCTGAAATTAGGCCTGAGAGCGGGCCTTATTTGTGAGAGGGGAAGAATGCAGTAGTTTGAGTTATTAAGTAAAAATGATTTACTAGCAAGAACTAGTGGGTTAACCCTTTAGCTCAGTTGGTAGAGCACTTGTCTGGTGTGTGATAGGTCTCAGTTTCAAATCCAAGCAGAAAAAAATTATACACTAAAAATAAATTAACACAATGTCAGTGTTAATCCTTGGGAAAGCATCATACATAAGAGATGCCAACCATTCCAATTTTACTTGTATTTTGTGGGTTTGGTATAAACTAATCTGGTAAATTTGTTATAGAGATGAGAAGAAATGATGACATCATCAATATTGTAGTCATTTAAGCTTATGTACTTCTGTAGCTGTACTTAAACTAGACTCAAACACTTTGGAACACTGTATAAAATATCAGCCAATCAGAAATCATATTCATAAATGAGATGCCAGGTTAGTTTTATATATTGGAACAAAAGAACAAAAGGTGTCTAACCAAGAATTTGAATATAACAAAAGCACATTAGAAATACTTCACCCTCACAATAAAGGCAATCAATTGAAAAGAAATAGACAAAATAAAAAATCAAACCACAAATAAGTTTACTATTTAAGTAATATCTGTAATGGTGAAAATAAGAAAAACTCAACCACAACATTACAATACAAAAGTACTAATGTCCAAATACAGAACTCTGGCATGTCATTATACAAAGAAAAAGCTACAGAAGAACAAATGTCACTTAAGTTTAATTGCTAAATCATACTCAAAAGTAAACTAAAGGTGAAAATAACAAACAAACAACAGTACAAATGGCTTCTTGATACTGAACTGTTGCCAAGTGTGGGTGTTGTAGAAGTTAAGTCTGAATGTGCTGCCTGTTGGCCACGCATTAAATTGTCCAAAATAAGTGACAACCATTCATTTTGTACAATTTATTTTGAGAATTTTAACATTGCTTGTGATGGAAAAGCAATTACAGAAAGTACATCGTTCATATTTTTCTGGTTTGTTTAGAATTTTTTTATGCTGGCATTCTTGTTTTATATTAATTAGGGCTGTCATCTCTGCATACAGTTCTAATTAATGATTAGATGGTATATATTTTAGTTTAAAAAAATCAATTCAGAATGAATTGAAATGGCACTAAATAAATTTGAATGATTGTTCATAAACCCTGCCAAATTTATTATTGTTTTGTGTATTGTCACACCTTCAGTAGTGTTATCTTTCATGACACAATACTAACAATGCTTGAAAAATATATTATTGATTTTGTTGTAACTGCTTTTTTTCATAGAGATTTTTTTACAGCAATTTTATACTATCATTTATGATATAATAAAAATAAATATGCACACGTTCTTTTTTACAATGTTTGTATGTGGAATGATTTATAAGAAATACGAAGAATCAATAAAATCAATCTCCTGCTGGGGAATTTTGAATTTATTTTTTGTGTGTGTATAAGTTAAAAAACAATGAAAGTGAGTTTAACTGTTTTCTTCAGATTATTCAGCTTCAGTGTACTTATGACTTGCTGGAGGATCCAGAGGACAGAAGCTACTTTCTTGTACATATTAATGAGGCTCAATCTATTACTGTCAGGCCTCTCAGAGAGTATCTTGATCTCAAAAATGAACCGGGAAAGGCAAGTAGATTTTGTTCTTTCTGTGTAAATTAACCCATTTTAGGTAATTTAATTAATTGATAATGACTATCTTTAACCCTTTGATTGCCAATACTGGTGTATTTTGGACCGGTATTTTGTAATAATCAATTAATGTCATTTAAGAGAAACATATGTAAATCATGTTTGTAATATACATCTGTATAATATTGCGGTATGCAGGGATTTATTCTATTTATTTCTTAGCACATACTCAGTTAGTTTGAGCGAAACTCAATATTACTTTGCAATTTATCTTTCTAAACCACTTTTTATATACTAGAACTACCTAATTTACTCTTTTGGGAATCATTTTAACTGAAAATACCATAATATCTTGAAAATGGAGAATTAGCAATGATAATTTTTAGTTTCCTGTGTAGATGTATGTAGAATAGATATCAGTATTGGTCATGAGGAAAATTAAGGGGAAAATCCAATTATTCACCTCAAATATCCCTCAGGCAAACAGGGAGGACTCAGGAGAGTGATGGAAAATATCCTAATAAGACATGAGATCAAACTGACACAAATTAAAGTTAAATTTTATATGAAAAGTATTTGTTGCCACATAACTCATGTATGTTAACTTGGCATGTTAAGTACACATTATCTGACACATTATACAATATGATATTTGACAAATAAAATTGGTACAAATAAAATAATAAGAGATTCTCTATAAGTATTGGCACTTAAAGCATCACAGGGCACAGAATGCAACGTACGTATTAGTTCAGACTATTTTCCTTATGACAGTCAGTTCTGACTCTGAACACTTGGGCAAAACAGACTTCATGTCAGTATGTTGATGACTCTACATGTTTCGACATTACAACGTCACTCCTGAGAATGATGTTGTAACGTCAAAACATGTAGAGTCATCAACTTTTTGAAGGCCATAGATAGGCCTAAATAAAATGTTTTTAATTGTGTACCAGTATAACGTTGAATATTATTTATGATTTTAGTCTAGAATTAATCACTTGTGCATTAAACAGTGCATTAAAAGTGAATGGATATTAATGGTTTGACACTTAAATTGATAAATATTTGCAGTCAGTGAGTGTTGACCATTTTTAATTGTGTTTAACAGCTTAAACGTTGTTAATTTATGGAGTGTTTTAGTTTTTACAGAAAGAAATAAGTAAAGAATTATTAGTTACCTTGATAGCTTCTGAGTTGTGAGCACACATCTTAAAGTAGCATTTCTTTGAGCATGAGTTGTGTTCTGTGGTTCCACAGTGTTCCGTTATTTCTGCCTCTCACTTTAAAAAGGTAGACAGAGATACTGAATTTCATTGAACACGTGTGCAATCAAGCATGCAGGTAAAAACAGAATGGCAGAGCTTGTTCTCAGTGCAAAGCACCACTTACAGGATATAATGGCATCTCAGAAACACTGAGAGCTTGCATGTTACAAATAGTTGTTGTTAACATACTGGATTTGACTGATCAAGTTATTTTGCATATAAGTAACAAAAACTTTTCCTAAGGGTGTTTTTAGGTGAGTATGAGATGCACACAAATGGTTGCTTGTCTCTTATGGCCAGCTCTGTTTATGATTCTTTTTTTCCTCTAATAACAAACCTAACTACTGTGTAATAAATATACTTAAAACATTGAAAAAAAATGCAATTATAATGAAGTTTTTTTATTTTGCTTTACCAGATTGTTGGATCATATCAATTACTCTGTGGTACAATTGTGTTACATTAACTGTTTTCACAATTAGTCCTGTCAATTGACCATTGTTTGACAGATGAATTCACTTTATTATAAAACTACATTCATTATACTAAGAAATCACTAGGGTTAAAAGTTAAGTAAATCAGGAAAGATGGATTTTCTTTCTCTGGATGAATCGGAAATTAGAAGGAGTGTAAATTGTTATGTTTAATATTAGTCATCTTCAGTAATGTGCTGGGTATTGTTGAGAGGATATCATAATGGTATTAAGTAGCCCTTAGGTTGGCTTTGAATGGGAAATTATGCATGCGTAACTCATATCCAATTTACTGAAAGATGAGTATAGGACAGAAAAATTATTGTGAAAAACAATTATTTATGTAGGGAAAAAGAAATAGAGAATGATTTTAAAAAGAAATTTTATAAGCTCTGTGAGAACTAAGATTTGCTACAAATAGAATATGGAGAAGAATATCAATATAAACAGCAATTTTTATTAAAATGAAATAATAATAATAATGTAAAAATAAGCAATAAAAAAGATTAAAATAATGAACATCTCTCTTGTGGAAATGAGTATGCGAGTAAAAACAAGCTTTCATCAGAGAATTAATTAAAGGTTAATATCACTAAATCTGTAATGAATATTATCCAGTGTAGCAGTTTTGAGGTTTCTTTTGGTTCTCTCTCTACATTACTTCAGACTCAGTTTCATAATTACTGATATGTGATCCCTTCCTTCCCTTCATAAGTTTCTTTATTTGATTTTGCCTTCCAGTTTTCTACATTAGTTATCCACCATGTTGTATTAATATTGTAATTTCCCACTTTTTCTCTGTTTGGAAATAAGGGGAGCCATTATTTTAAATACTAACATGACGTATCAGTACTTAATAATACTAAAAATTGTATATGATTCCTGATTTTTTTAAAATTTAAACTAGGTACTTAGCTTACATTTGATTGTTCTTAATATGGAATAAATTCATATCATTTTAAAAGTGAAGGCTATTTTTACAGCCTTGTTTGTGTATTGTTATTTATTCAAATTAATGATTAGAACTCTGCAAAATAAAATTTCATCCTTTTTTTTTTCATCTGAATTTGAAGTTATAGAAGAACTAGAGCTTATCATATGTTTGTAAATTAAACCTTGTTCAAAAAGATTTCAGCCTACAATAGAACTGCACACATTGTGAAGATGCAGCTTACAAGCAAACCAGAAAAACCTAGGAATGTGAAGTATGGAGTAAACTTAGCATATTCAATTTAATATGTAGGTTGTATTAATCTATATATTTATAAATATAACATACTTTTTCTTTGATTTTATGTTGTTTTATTAATTATTCTGATACCAAAGAAATCACATAGGTATTCAATAAAGGATAAAATACAAAACAACTCCAATATTGAACTGATTTTAAAAGATAGATTTTGTTACTTCAGTGTAGTTGATCAATAATCACTGTGAGCTTAAAGACAATAATCTATGGCTGCATAAAATTACAATGCTGTCTCTGTTAGGGCTTATCTTAATTAATAAATATGATTGTGTATTTAGTATGATCTAATCAAGTTATTTATTCAGATTCTTCAAAAAGTTTTATTTTTCATCTCCAACCTCCTCCCTCCCAACACATACATACAATGGCTCAGCTATAAGCTTGAAAGCTTATAATGCTAAAATTAGTGGTTTGAGCTCTGCAGCAGGCACAGTGCAGATAACCATTTTTTTGTACTTAAAACAAATCTTCTCTTTGAATATATGATATTTCTAAATACCACAACATTAATGTTTTGTTCCTATTTTTGTAGCTAATTGTAGGGTTTGCAGACCCCTGTACTTTAAAAGAGAATCCTGGTTGGCCTCTCAGAAACCTTCTGGCATTAGTTTCATACCATTGGTAAGTATTAGGTTTGTTGCACTGACAAATAATATAACATTATGCAATTTAATTTTAGTCTTATTTCACCAGTTAAAAAAATGTGCAATATTAATCTTGATATAAAGAGTTGTGCCATCTGTCTTTTATAATCTTCTAAAACTGTTTGGTATGATGTAGAAAATATTCAAAGAGTAACATTATGGGTACTATAATAAAGACATGATAATGATTTTAAGTATGTTTGAAAAATTGAAACAAAACTCTGAATGAGATGAAAACCTGAGATAGCATGAGGTGATTTATTATTACGTTAATAGTTTTGTTAAAATTAGATTGCAAAATGACATTTATTTGTATTTTTTATTTGCACAGGGGCAAAGACAGGTCTGAGTGGGAAGTCTTGTGTTTTAGGGACAGAGTCAAGGATGGCAAGAGGTCTTCATCTCACAGTCTTCTACTGCAAGTAAAACTATGTGGAACAATGATTCCTAATGGTTAGGAACTCTTCACTTATTTTTTTTAATAATAAAACAACTTGGTATCTTTATATTAATTTTACCTACCACAGTTTAGTAACAGGTTTTGTCACATTTCTTTCAATATTAAAAGGAACAAAATTAACTCTTGACATTTGCTGTTTAGTTGCTGACATTAACAGTTGTCACACAAAACCACATTTATGTAGTGTAATTACCTTATTGTGGTGATTTGGAGTCAGTGTGTCGTATTAACTTAAACCTGGAACATTAAAAGAAAATTATGATTTAATAAATATATTTGTTACACAACTTGATAATATTGTGAACCTAACTTTTTGTATCAAACTGATATTAGTGTTTCCTAAGTATTTTTAACTTATGTAGCCATCATTCTTAAGAACACTAAATTATATTATAGGAAAACAATTATTGGTTTAAATCCAGTAGAAGAGGATCATTTATAAACTGCTTTAGAATTTTTTTTATTCTTTAAAAGCAGTGGTTAGCATGTTAGACTGTGAAGCTGAGATTCCATGGCATCCAATTACTAACATCAAAAAACAAATTGGTTTCTGCATTTTTGAGCTGTGGATGTCTTTTAAGAATCACTATCAAATCTACTGTTCTATCTGACAGTTAGTAGTCCATTAGTTGGTGTTGTGTGGGATTGAGCAGCTGCATTCCCTCTAGTCCAGTGCTTCTCAACCTTTTCCAATATCATTCACCCCTCTAAGTTTTTCACAACAAGTCACTTAACTTAGTTCAAAAAAAGACAAAGTACTAAATCAAGATCCACAGTTCTTTATTATGACTTAAATATACATCAAGCTACAACTAGAATAAATATTAATGAATTTTTTGCTCTGGAATTTGTTGTATAATTGATGATACACATTCACCCTGCCATTCACCCCATCATTGCCATTCACCCTGATTCTGATCTCATTAATTCATGGATGAACCCATTCACCCAATTGAGAAACACTGCTGTAGTCTATAACTTCAAATTTAGAGATGGCTAGCACAGATAGGTCTTATGTAACTGTACGTTAAGTTCAACAAACAAATATACTTTCTTTGAAAGTAAACTCTTTGTTAATTTTCTAAGAATTGTTAAAATTTACTGAATTTAAATAATTGCTCACTAATTGGACTAATTGGAAATTGTTAAAATCTGATACTAACCAACCAATAGCTAAATGGCAAGAAGAAAATTTTGGTTACCATACAGCTGACATTTATGAAAATAAAATTCATTTCTCTACTAAGTTTTGCTTGTCAGTTACTACTAGTTGGTGTCAGATATGAATACTTCAGTATCTAAAATAATAAATGTCAAGTGCATCAGCTATTATCATGCAATTTCAGTTGCTGGAACTGCTTTATTAACAAATTTAGAAGAGACTGTTTGGTGATGAGGGAAAAAATAAGAAGGAAAATTATAAACATTTTTGTTAGATATAAATACAAACCAATTGAATTTACACTTTATCCAGATATTGTTTGTAGGTGTGACTAAGAAACTATTTCATGTTGACCGCACTCTTTTAAACTCCTTTCTGTGCAAGTCTTGAGGTTTTACTGAGTTACATTCAAAATTTAATTAAACAACTTTACTATCAATGTATTCTAATGAAATTAGCATTATTGTGTACATTATAATTCAAAGTTTTATATTATACAAGTTGGAATTCCTTTATTTCAAAAGAAACCTTTAAAAAAAAAAACTTAAACTTCAGTGTTGTTGTCATGTAACGATCGAGCGATCACAGATCTTGACTTTTTGTCTCCGTTACTTGAATGTACAGTATATATATGTATGTCTAAAGTGAATTCTACTTGTACAGCACTATTTATCCATTCTTAGTTCAAATTCCTTCAGGTCAACTCAGAGATAACAGAAAACTAAATTTGCTCATCCCTTGACAGTAGTCATTCCCACCTTTTTATTTAGACATGTTATTTCAAGCAATATGTACTTATTTAATTGACATGTTTATAACCAAAAGAAAGAGTGCATTTTATACTGTAATTTCTCAATTGTTATTTTAAGACTGGTGCACAGTATTTATTACCAAGTCGGTGAAACAGCTGAAGCATTGTTTGCCGACTTATTCCTTCCTAACACTTAGCGTTGTCTCTAACCTAGATACATATTAGATACAGATTTTAGTTAATTCATATTTGAAAGGTTTAATATATTTTTTTTTTATATTTCCCAAACTTTGCATTGATTCATGAGGGTTAATTTTTCTGTACAAATGTAAAAACATTTTATCAAAGGTTTGCATATCTCTACCAAAGACACTATAATATGCCCCAAGGACACCTGTTGGTGTGTGCCATAAAGGAAAGGAAAATAAAACATTAAAAACAAACTATAAGTGAAAAGGTAAAGACCTGAAATTATGCATATAACCAAAAGAAGATATTTTAAGATTATTTGACGACGAGTTAAAAGGTATGTACATAATTCTGTTTCTTAATTTTAAACATTTAATTGTACTGTATATTGATGGTAACAGCTACAGTTAGTGATATGATAGAGAAAATGAAAATATAAATGTTTAACCTTAAAAAAAAAAAACTATATATATAGGTGGTCCTAGAGCAGGGGTGGTGAACCTTTTTAGAGCCCAGTGCTAAAATGCATGAAAAAAAATCAATTTTTAGTGTACCAAAAAACTTGTATTTTACATGTAATATGTTTTTACTTTACATGACTGTTTTACTTTACTTCAGTGTGTTTTTTTTACTTGAAAATTTACAAAACAAATATGGCATGCCAATGGTTCACCATCCCAGCTGTTCTAGAGGTTATGCAAATGAAATTTGAAAACTGTAAGATAAAAAAAAAGTATTTTTAAACTTAACATGAAAACCACCTTGCAATTGAACTGCTCAGTCTAAGTGCAAATAATTTATGAATTTTTAGTAGAAATAGTAAAAAAATCAAATTTAAATATTTCATTTTTCTGAAACTCGTGTCTTTAGGAAAGTTCCTCCAAGTTTCAAACAGTTTCATCCACTATTTTTATTCTTGGAAAGAAATTTGATGAGAGTTACATAACCTACTTGCACTGTAAGTAGGTCACGGTGAAAGGGTTAAATTCACTTAGTATTCTCCTAGTACTAAATCTAAATCCTAGTAATTAGATAAATAAAACGATGGACCATGTCTCCAAAATGTTGTTGTACTAAAAAGTGTCCTCTTGTGAGTAATGCACTTTTGGTTTTTCAATATATGTACTTGGATGTACTATGCATGTTCTTAGTGTTAACTTTGAATGTCATCTTTAATCATTTTTAAATTTATTTTCCAAGATGCCCCTCTTTGTGTTGGGTGGGAGAAAAATGAAAAACAAAAGCTGGGACCTCGTCATGTGGATTTAAGCTCTAGTATGAATCCTAAAAGGTACCTTTCAAACTAAAGAGTGTCTGCTTATTACATGTATTCAGAGATATTGGAAACATCTCAGCAAGGTACTTATTGTTTTAAATTCACTTTAAGAAAATATACTAATGCAGTATTGTGTGAATTATATTTTATATACTTAGAATTAGAGAATAGATTTGTAGTAGAATTACTGCATATATTCTCTCACTATTTTCACTTTATTATTTTAGTTGTCCAGTCATTAGACGATACTTGTTTACATAGACAGTCAAAGACACTGCGTATATTAGGTTGATAGAATAAGAAAATGTTTCACTGCCCCATTGTGAACATGATTAAGTATACATTAAAGGTTTTAACACAATACAGTGGAATGTTTAAAGTAGAATTTTTGTTTTACATCTGATTAACATTGAGTGAATGAAAGGTAGACTTCTCTTAATGTAATAAACATAAGTAAGTAAAGTCAGCAGCCATTAATGTTAAATATTCATGTTTTGTATTATCATGTAAATTATTTCCTTCCTTGCTGAGGGATTTACGAGATAGCTAATTATTCTTCAATAGATTAGCAGAGTCTGCTGTAGAGTTGAATCTGAGATTGATGAGGTGGAGACTAGTCCCTTCACTTGATCTAGAGAAAATAACATCAACTAAGTGTCTTCTTCTTGGGGCAGGTACTCTTGGTTGTAATGTTGGAAGGTGTTTATTGGTAAGTTTGTATAAGTAATTTTTCATTGGTTTAAGGAGATCACATCTGCTAGTTGTTACATATCAAAAACAAGTTTTTGTTATACCTTTTTAAAATAATATTAGCATTTTTTTCCCATGAATAATTTAGTATTTTTACTATCTTCACCTAGTTTTTTTCAGCCTGGTTTGTTCCCAGTTAATTAATTTTTTTCACAGGCTAGCATTTCACTATCAGGACCAAATCTCTTGACCATTAGATACTGTAATGAAATATATTAAATTTTCAAAAAGTACCTAATAACATAAGCAAGTTTTATGTTATCTGAGAAGAAAATGTATTTTATCTGAGTAAATTGACTCTTTGTTTTCCATGGAGCATAGGAATGCTAAAACTGAAAGGATTTTTTAACAAGCTTGATGACTTTATGTAAAGTTTATTAAGTTTGATTGAGAAACATTATTCTTTATTCACAATAATCATTAGGAATGGTGAATAAATAACATTGTCTCTGGTTCAGTAGAGCTGGGGAGTAAAACATATAACTTTTGTGGACAATGCCAGAGTTTCCTTTTCAAATCCTGTTCGACAGTCCTTGTTCACATTTGAAAGCTGTCTGGATGGTGGCGAGCTAAAAGCTGAAGCTGCAGCCAACGGACTGAGGAGAATCTTCCCTGGAATAGTAAGGTTTTGGTTTATTCATTTTTTGATCTGCAATTTTTACATATTTCTTCATCTGTAAAGAAACTAACCACCGATTAGAAATTAGGATTTCTATTTAGAGGAGTTTAATGGAAACCACTATCTTTAGTTTAAATAGCTACATTCAGTGCTGAGAAGCTATTTTTATAAGCTTGATGTGTAGAGCTGGGCAATTAGTGGAATTTGGTAATAGATTAATTACCAAGTTCATTAATTGATCATATTAGTTAATTGATTATTTTCATGAGATTGTAAAAAAACTAGTCTTATCCAATGAGATGTCTGGAATAATTTCTAATAATAAAAATCACTTTGATGCCCACAATGGTCAGATCACTGATAACCCATTGTGTAGTTTTGTAATTAATAGCACAGAAACATAATTGCAATATTTCAATTTCATGATTAGTTGAGACAGTCATAAATATTGATAATCAGAAACACTAATTTCGATTAGCTGGTTATTTTCATGAGACTAATTGATTTAATCATAAACACTAGTTGATTATTTTTGTGACATTAACTGACATTTTATAACCACTGTTATAAATCGATGTAATCAATAATATTGATTACTCAAGTTAATTGTCCAGCTCTAATGATGTGTAAACTTTGTTTATAATATTTTTCATTCATGTATGGTTTTTCTCTGCAAGTAGTCTCATTTTCCTCATTTACGTATGTAAATAAAAGAAAGAAAAAAATTGATTAAAGCTATTCAAACTTAACCTTTAGGCAGTATGTTGAACTTGTGGATTGTGTTTTATACGAACTTACCCTTTTCTTGTTTGGTTTTGAGATGATCTATTGGGTTCTATACTACATCTTTCTAAGAAATATTCATCAAAGAGCCAGATACATAATATCAAGACCAAACAAGGACAGACATCTACAGAAACCAGTCTACATGTGTATCATAACTTTTCATGTGTTCACAAGAGTAAATCTAATATCATCAAGTTTCCAGTTTATTCATAATAAACATAGTAAATTTGAATTCAACATTTTTCACAAGAAAAGTTTCATTGGTTTGTACTTCAACTTTGACATTTTTATACCTTTGTCTTCTGGACTAATTAGGTATATGAGAAGGAATGTTTACTCTCATTTTTAGTTTACTACGTGTATCTATATGAAAGGTGGCACTTTTATCAAGATATATACATGTGTTGTATACAAAAAATTGTATATGTTACAAAAGTATTCCAAGTCATGATATGTCTGTGCACTGATGATATCAGTCTGACTCTGACAAGTTGGAGTGGAAGGTGACATTCATGTGAAAAAATAAGAATACTTTTGTCCATCATACAGTTTACATACTGCATTTGCATAACCTCTAGAATCACCAAAATGTATATCTACAAGTTTTTAAGTATCTGTATATTATATATGATGTTTACTCTCCTCTACCACGAACTGTTACTAAATGAGCAATGTGTGGTAAGATGAATAATTTATAACTGTGACGTCATGTTGAATGGCACTCTGTAAAGGATTGTGGCATGTACACTTTGACCTCATCCATGCATGTAGGGTTAAAGGATAAGAGTCTTTCTGTACAACATAATTGAAATATTGCTGATCAGAGAGTTTCTCTATTCCTGGCACATAGATTAGAAACCAGATGTGCATGTTATTTCATCCATGCAAAACCTAAAGTTGAATTGAGATGTATTTTCAAGCCTTTATACAGATTAAAGTATTTATTCAGGTTATATTGGATCCATTACTGGGTGTTTTACAGCTTGCATCTAATAACATGCAAATATAGCATCACGAAATGATGAATGAATACAATGAACCTATAAGAAGAGTACAATTTAAAATCCTCACAAGGAACAGGAACTGAGTATAAAGGACAAGATATTGATCAATAGATGTAAACTGGTATTAACCCATTGACTGCAGCTGCTCTAAACGTGCACATAATTTTTGCAAGCCGTACATCGTATATGGCACACAAGCATTTAACTGCTAGAGGCAGACCAGATCCTATATGGTGAATCAGCAGGCAATGAGTTAAGTCAGCAAAACAGTGCAATTTATTATTAAATATTTATATATATATTTAAGTGTTATCAAAGCTGTGAATAAGTTTCAAGTTATGGAACATTGCTTAATTAGTGAAGAAATGAAAATGGGGAAGAATAAGAAAATTTATATTTTCTGTATTTGCAAGTCATTTTTAAAAATCTATGAATTTTTCTAGAAATAAAATTTTTTGTCCATTAGGTGATTTTAACTGTTTCCAGGTGTATTACAATCACAACATACATTGTTTAAATACCTAATGTTAAAATATATGGATTAATTAGTGTTTCATGTAAAATACAAATACCAGATTAAAATGTCCTCTTTAACAGGAATTTTAAACTCTGCTACTTGCAAGTTCTTATGTGACTGGTCTTTGCTACTTGCAAGCTCTTATGTGATTGAACTATGCAGTGATTCAACTGAAATGAAGCAAGATTAGTCTGCTTTAAAAAAATTAGAAAGCCATTAACAAATTTACCAAAATTCAAAGATGGCTATTTTATTTCTGTTTACTTCTTTATAGTATGTTTTAAAACATTTTCTGGCAGCTTAATAACTGCAAAACTAAATTGAGTTACACCAAAACATATTACTTAATGATTTTTCAAACTGTGTGGGGGTGTTGTGAAGAACTTTAAGTTAAAGGATAGTCTAGAATTAAACAAGATGGGTTGTCAGTTATATATTCTTTCCACAAATGTAAACATCTGTATAAGGACAATATAACTGTAAACAAGAAATCTATCTTCTGGTGTGGCAACTTTTTTTTACTTTTTCTCATACACATTGCAGTTTACTTTCTTCATGGTTTTAGCATATGTAAAGTGAATTTGGAAATACTTTCTGAATATTGTTTAAACTGTCACTTTCTGGTGGTTGTTTTGTTTTTCTTTCAGGTCACACAAGGAATAAACTTAAGCATTCCAATGCCAGGACATCCTGTGAATGGAAAGTGTAAGAAAATTCTTTATTAGTTTTCTTACATATTTTTACTACCATGATAACAGTCATATCTAACATTCAAGACATTCTTTATTATTACCCCACCTTGTATATTTTGTCGTCTTCAATCATTCTAATCAAACTAAGCAGATTAAATCTTCAACACAGATTATTGGGAATTACCAACATTGTTTTCAGATTTTCACCCTATACCTGAATTTGTTCGTAAGAGAATTTGCAGCATTGATTTAGTCACTGAGTTTTTAGCAGTTCATGTTTCCAGTGCACTTTAATGAAAAGAACTATTGTTCTGGTAACTTGGTGAACCAATGGTGAATAATCACTGATTTTGAAAGTTTAGTAACATTAGGTAGCAGCTCTCTTTGTTCAATTTTATTTCATTTTGAATTGAAGGTATTTTTTTTTTGTTAGTAATAGAACAGATAAAGCAAGATGTGGAACAGCTGGAAGACCTAGTGGAAACCCATGATGTCGTGTTTCTCCTGATGGACACAAGGGAGAGCCGTTGGCTACCCACAGTTTTAGGAGCTCTAAAACAGAAGGTAAGTCTCTAATCAGGTGTTTCTCAAGTTGCTATTCAAAAATAGAGCCTAAATAATTTGTTCTAAAAAAATCTTCATATTTCTACATAATTGATTGCATGAGATACCTATATTATTTCTATTAAAAATAAGTAAGACAGAATTTTAATAGTAAGAAGGGTTCAGCAAGAACAGTTGCATACACTGTCCATTCAGCTGAGCTATCCAATATGAATATTGTAAAAACATACAGCTCATACATAAAGAATAGTAAACTTCATATTGAGCAATATCTTGTTAAATTTGTTTTTAATAGTTTATAAATTCTTTTATATATGTTTAGAAGACTTGCTAAGCTAAACATTTCCTTAAAAATGTCATCTGTAAAATAAGCTTTTTTTTTATAATAACTTAAAGGGTTTATACTTCATTGTAAACATTAGATTTCATTTTCTTTTTATTAATCGTTGTTGAATGGGAACAGTGGTATATATCACATCTTTTGTTAATATGGATATTATAAATGTTATAGTTATTTGAATATTTGGTTGTTTATTAAACTACCATACCTCACTGGTAGGAAAAGTTTGTAAAATTAACAATTTATTCACTCCAAAGATATTTTCATTTGAATGTAAAATTAAAAGAAACATCTGTGAGACACAGTTTCAAAAGTAATGTAAGAAAATTTCACTGTTTGCGAGATGTTGGTTGTCTTGGGAAGATATAGTTTGAGTTTATGCTGTTTGAAAATAATATTGTGTCAGAAGTTGAAGATCTTGGAAGTACTGTGTACTATCTGAGAATTATACCTTTTGTGAAATATTAATTATGTTTGTAAAATACGATGTGTCTGTCTTTTTTTTTTTTTTGAGAACTAAACTAATTATGATGTTTACAAAGATGGTTTGAATACACAATGTTTGAAAACTGTCTGCTGTAAATCTGCCATATCTATGCAACCTAGTTTGAATAACTTCATCTGAGAGCTAAATCATTTCTGAAATGCATGTGATTCAGAAGAATTCTATTTTCAGAAATGGACTTCTTATTTTGGTAGTTATCTTGATTTACACCACGTTATTGTTATTAATCTACAGCAATTATGGATATTATATTTTAATGTCCTGCTTAAAAATGAAATAATTTATTCTTGAAGTTTTTTACTTTCTTAACAATAAGTATTATGTTTTACATTAAAGAAAATTTTAAGTGATAAATGAAAAAGACAAAATAATCTTCACTTTAGATAGTCTTCAGTGTAGCCCTTGGCTTTGACACGTTTCTAGTGCTGCGGCATGGCATGAAATCAAAAGATTCTAATTCCGGGGTGAAACCAATGTCTTTAGATGGTGCTGTACCAGGAGATCAGCTTGGCTGTTATTTCTGTAATGATGTTGTGGCACCAGGCAACGTAAGTAATAACTTGTGATTATAGTGAAATATACTGTCAACAGCAAGAGAATAGATGTAAAAATTATGATAATATTACATGGTTATCAGCCTTTCATCATGTTGAGGTTCTTTGTTTTAAAGAATTTACTTAGTTTAGTTTAGTATCTTATAAGTAGGTAAGGGAAATTGAATTTTTTTTTTTAAATAGCAAATTAATTTTGTTTCTTTTATAAGTTCAATAATAACAGTGAAGTTTTAAAGAGGTTTCTCAGTCTGTACTTTTGTGTAGCCTATACATGGTGTGCAGGATTTAGATTCCCATCTCTGTAGACTCATCAGTGAGATTACAGAATTGTTAGTATATGTTTAATTTAATGACTTTTAGTGATTACTACCATTGTTTGTGTAGTCAACCCGTGACAGAACGTTAGATCAACAGTGTACAGTAACAAGGCCTGGAGTATCTATGGTGGCCTCAGCTTTAGCTGTTGAACTTCTGGTGAGCTTGCTACAACACCCACGTGGGTGAGTGGAAGTTTAAATCCCAGTTTTAATGTATTATTAAGGCTTAATGAATTTAGCATTTTAAGAAAAATACAGATAGAGAACCACTATGTAAGGCTTTGGTAGTTAGATTTATATGGAAAAGATAATGATTTTGATTGTATATATGGTGGATACGATTAGACTTCAAAACCCAAGGACCACCTACAGAATTACATGAAATTTAAAGAGCCCAAAAATATTCAAAACCTAAATATGCCCCAGTGAATTCCTGGTACGGGTTAGCCAAATGGGCCACTGTTTCAAAATGCACCAGAAATGACCAAATTTAACAAAATTCTAGCTAGCTCGTTATCCTTCATCACTCTAAGGTGATTGAATAATTAATTTCAAGTAGCTTTTTCATAGAGTGTGAATCATATACCACTACTTTAAACAGCATAGTTAGGAGAGAAACCTACAACACCATCTGGTGGGGAAAATATAACTTCTTTAAAATTATACACTTGAAATAATTAAAATGCAAAAATAATCTCAACCAGTATTATCATGAAGGGCAATTCCAGTAATCTCAACCAGTATTATCATGAAGGGCAGTTCCAATAATCTCAACCAATATTATCATGAAGGGCAGTTCCAATAATCTCAACTAGTATTATCATGAAGGGCAGTTCCAGTATTTCAATACAGCTTTCTTGTAGTTGGAGTCAGAGTTTTGTTTTAAAAATAGTGGGACAGAAATACCTTGGGATCCATGGCAAGGCCACAATTTGCCAAGTTTTGGCCCATAACCTACAGTCTGATTACAGCCGTAGTGTATTAGTGTTGGAAATCTAACTGTGATAAAGTAAAAAGGATTTATTAGTTTTATATTGCTATAAAACGTAAAATAAAATAGGGGATTAAATAGGTATTAGGTGCAGAAAGACTGGTATTTTAAATCGGAGGTTAAAAAACAATTCATAAGTTTGAATCATAAGTAGATGGAAAGTGTAAAGAGGGTATTAAATTCATATAATTTTTCTTCATAATAAAAAGTTGAAAAGTGGATTTGGCATTAGTTGATTAGCAGGTGCAGTGCAGAAAGAACTTTAATAAACGTGTACTGTGTAACTAAGATCCAACGTTAATAAATGCAAAATGAGCTTATTATTCTTCATGCTAAGATATTTTTTAATAAAATTTATCAATGTTGCAATCTACTAAAATACTATTCCAGCCCTCTCGCAGAAGCAGAGACTAGTTCCTGGGACCAGAATTTAACAGTGGAGTCGGAATCACCATTGGGAATCATTCCTCACCAGATTCGAGGTTTCTTATCCCGTTTCCACCACATCCTTCCTGCTAGCATTGCCTTCAATCAGTGTACAGCATGTTCCCACTCGGTATGTATTGTTACATGCTAAGTTATAACTCACTATATTACACCCTAATCAACTGTTTTTGTGAAATGCTAAGTTGTGCATTGTTAAATGAGTATCTCCCAACTCTAAGCAACAAGGTTGTTTACTAGTTAGTTTATTTTGAAAATATAGTAACTCTAAAAAGAAGCTAATCTAAAAAGTGATTTAGTAAACAACATTCCAAATGTTAGCTCTTCATCAGTTGATGTTCACACAATTGCTAAGAAAAGTACCTTAGAATAAACAATAACAGTAATGTATACATGTACCTAATGTGGAATATGGTATAATGTGCTGTGATAGTTTAAACTTGCCCTAAACTTAATGTTGTGTTGCATTAAAAGTTTGGCACATAATATTTTAGTACAGAGTTACTTTTTACATGTAAGTACAAAGCAGAAATAATTCTCTTTCTCACCATTTACTACATAAGTTATAAGATTGTCATATCTGCATGTAATAAGTTAAAAATCTTACATGGATTATTGACACTCGCATATTTCAAAATATTCAATTTTGTGCTTTAATTAAAGTACGCGGTACAAATGCCATCCCTTATGTGTCCACTCCCTTGGGGCCTTATTGGCCTATAGCTGGTTTGGTGCCAATTGATATAGTGATTCACTAGTTATAAGCAGATACAATGCACAAGGAAGATATAAGGTCTTCAAGGGGTGACATAGGAGGGTCAGATTTGAACACCAAACCCACCCCTCACCTATGTCATTCCTCAGGGAATTGTAAGGGTACATGTCAATCTTTGGAAACATTTGGTCTAGCAGTTTCACAGTGTTGAGGTAAATATATCATAATTTATTACTGTCATTTTTAGATACTCTACAGATATTAGGAATGCTCTCCAAAATATTGTGTATTACACTTTGTGCACATTCTCCTTACATTTTTATTCCATTTGCATTCCTCTCCTTTATGACCATAAACTTACCCTATATGTTTAATAACAGACTTTAAAAAATTCAAAATATTATTACTACCAATAGTGGAAATGTTTTATTTTTGCATGCTCACAAGTTTGTAGTAGTCTACATGTGTAGTTTCTTTATAGCATTTCAATTAATTTATTGATTCTGTTTTAAACTCTGCTTTAAGGGAATTTTTCCCAAAGTAGGGGATTACAGTCTTCAGGTTTGTATAAAATTGGTCTAGCAGTTTCACAGTTATAAGTGGATACACACACACACTTTTGTCAAATAATGGTTTAGATTTGAAAACCCTTTTTCAAATCTAATCAGTACTACTTTATTAATTGTCTTGATTTGATAAATTTATAATAATGAAAATGATATATACTAGTATGCATCCCAACTTTTTAGAATGAAAAGTTTTAATAACTAAGGTAAGATTTATATGTTTTTTGTGCTTTTTTGTTTTAACCAGTGCATTTTATTCATGCAGCTTATGTTACCTGGAAACTATTTTTATGGTTGAAATTGTTAATGATCAGTAGTTTTCAAATACCAAGCAATATGTGATCATATGGATCATTAGAAAACTTATCAAGCAGGTTGGTTTAACGTATTTTCATTTAATTTTGTATTGTTTCAGGTTCTTGACATGTATAAACGTGAAGGATATGACTTCTTGTTGAAGGTCTTTAATGAACCCAACTATTTGGAAGATTTGACAGGGCTTAAGAAGTTGCATGAAGAAACAAACAGTGCTGAGGTAAATATATCATAATTTATTACTGTTATTTTTAGATACTCTATGGATATTAGAGATGTTCTCCAAAATATTGTGTATTGCACTTCGTGCACACTCCCCTTACATATTTATTCTATTTCCATTCCTCTCCTTTATGACCATAAACTAACCCTATACCTTTAATAACAGAATCTAAAAAATTCAAAATATTATTACTACCAATAGTGGAAACGTTTTATTTTTGCATGCTCACAAGTTAGTAGTAGTCTACATGTGTAGTTTCTTAGAACATTTAAATTAATAATTGATTCTGTTTTAAACTCTGCTTTAAGAGAATTTTTCCCAAAGTAGGGGATTACACACTTCAGGTTTGTATAAAATTGGCTGTGAAGTAACTCTAACATTATAAATACTTGAAGTATGATGTGTCTTTCTATGCATTTTCTTAATTGTAAAAAGTAACTCTCAAACTCTTTTCTCATCCTGATTGTGTTTATTTCACTGTAAAGATTTTGTGTGGTAAGATTAGAGGCATATTTTTGTAAGGCCACTATAAATATTTATAAAAAGGATTCAGTTATAAACAATTTCTCAATGCTTAAAGACATCTTTTCTTTTAACTAATTCTTTTGAAGTTTTACTTCTCTAAAAAGAAGAACTTTATAACAGCAATTTGAACCTCATTCTTCCCTTCATGTGCTTGAAAAACTATAAACTTAACTGTAGAAATTGTTCTTTACTGGGTTTTTGTGACTGCATGTGTACAAGGTATACTATGGTTTTGGGGGTGGAATTTTTTTAAAACCATCTGGTTATTAAGCTTTCATATGTTTAATTGCCAGGTTACTAAGTAACTATTTAAGTTTGAGAAAGTAACAGTCATTCACAGGGGCAGACATTTCATGAATGGCTTCACTCTTTAGTCTGATATTTATTTTAAACAATGACATTCAAGATACATAACTACCTGCACATGAATTGAGAAATGTTTTGTTTATTTTTGGTGTCCTTTTTTGTTGTTTCAATTTGGGTAGAAATGTAAATCATATTATAAAGTTAACAAAACAATTCTACAAGATGATAAAGAAAAATGAGAAATAAGAAGGTTATTTTTGAAAATCGTGAATTTTCATAAAATAAGAAGTGTGTGTAAAATGAAACATGCAACACAAGTTTTGGTTCAATTCAATAACAAGTTTGAAAAGATATGTTGTATATTCATTATAACAAGTTGGCAGTAGTGATGTGTTAATGAATTCAGTTATCCAAATCAACTGCTTTATAGTATTAAATATTATTATAATCACTAATTGTATGTATTTGTAGGCCATTGATATTGCTAAATGGGTACATTTTTGTTCTTTGAGAATTCTCACGTTATTGCCAAACTCTTCAGTATTTTTTCACCTTTGTAGCTTTTACTTTTAGAGCCCAAATCTATAAAAAATCTAGTCATAGAATAGTTTAAACTGTCCTGCAAGTGGTACTTGTTTAGATTCACACTATATTGTTTGACTTAATATATTGGGAATGTTTTAACATTATTAATGATTAACAAAAAATTTGTTATCACTGTTTTGGAAAGGAGTAATCTTTCTTGATAGCAGATCTGTCAGTATGTTTTACAATGGTTCATAGTTTTGGTATTGTATTGTGTACTGCAATTCTGATTTCATATTTTCTATTACATTAAATTGAAATTACAGTTTTGGTATTATATATTGAAGGATGTTTTCTTTGTGATATAAGACTACTTATTATTATGTTTAAAGTGTTTCTTTCTCTCTTTTGAATTGTGTTTAATAATTTTGATTTGTATTGTCCTGTTTGAGGTTAATATTTTTGCATAAGGTGGTCACTGGTATCTTTATTGAAGGGTTTCAATTGTGAAATGCATGATGAACAGTGTCATTGTTAAGGGGTTTTTGCTTTATCATATTAATATCTGAGAGAAATGGATAAGAGAGAGAGCCAAAGGCTAGTTCTAACAATAGTTTATATTAAGATACATATCTAAGAATTCTAGTAACAACATTAAGCTTTTAGTTGAGAAAAAAAGCATGATTTTCTGCTTGAACTTGATATCATGTAAGAGTAGTTTAACTGATTGTTATATGCCATATTATTATTTTGAAATCTACACAAGACTAGACCATATGTCCTGTACATATTTACCCTCTAAGCACATTTTGCAACACTGTGAAGCATTTAATTTTCAAAACGAAGATCAGTTAAATGTTCTTTATATATTTATTCACCACACATAATACACCAACAAATATACAGCTAAATATATTAAAGCTAATGTACCCCTACTCTTGATATTCTTGAGATGGAAAACACTACTATTTAGTGAAAGAAAACGTAATATTCTTCTATAATAATTAGGAACATCTTTTAATTTATAAATTTAATTTGTATGCATTTAGTCTTAAAACCAAGCTTATCATCACATAAAAATTGCAAGTTTAACTAGCTAAATCATTCAGCTTTCCATTTACAGATTTTCATTATAGAGAATGGATAATAAAGATTTACTTCATCTAGTCTTAAAAAGCTTCATGAAGAATAAAAAATTCCAACCTATTTTGCTCTTTATAAAAATCTAACAAATGTCAGATGTAGCTTTGTTTCTAATTTGTTTTATAAGAATATATTAACTAAATGTTAGATAACAGTTAAGTAGTCATGTTTATCATTGTAGTATTTTTCTTTTTCTTTCAGGTTTGGGTGTTAAGTGATAATGAGAGTATGTGATCAAAAGGTTGACACTACAATGGCTACAACCTCTTTTGGAATAACCTGTCTACATGGTTATCATTCTTCGTTGAAAAGGTTCTCAAATACTTTGTACATGAAAAAGAAAATGAAGTGTGCTTTTTGTGGGAATGAGTTGTACAATTTAATATTAAATTAATTTGTTAGGCTTTAATAATCAGGCAAAAAATTAATTTGGTGAGGAAGTCTTCCTAATACCAATGGTTTTTGTGATCTTGTTTCACACTGAAAGATACCGTATTGCTAACTGAAAGTCAAGTTTTGTGTGTCAAATGTTGAAAAGATTGATTAACATTCAACTATATCTGAATGGTATTTTTAAATCTCTGTCAGTTGTACTTATGGTTTATTTAATTATGTTTCAGCTGACCCACAATCATATTTTGTGATAAAACATTGTCAACTAATTAGTATTTGAATCTATTATTAAAATATTTTTTCTTTCCTTAGGAGTTGGTATAAAAATAAATATATACACACACACACACACACACACACACACACACATAGAATAAATTTTTTGGATCTCTTCCCTACAAAAATGTGTCTCATCTCAAGTTTGTTAGTAACAACGTTGATTGTTCTAGATGATACTATTGAACCTCTCTTTTTTTCTATAGAGAACATTTCATCATTATAGTATCTACTGAGCAGGCTATCTGCCTCTGTCATGAGCGGTCTCCACCGCTTGGTCAAATGTTAGAACTGGTGGATCTAACATTTGACCAAGCGGTGGAGACCGCTCATGACAGAGGCAGGTGGCGAGGTCTCGCTGACCAATGTTCCCAACAGAACGGGAGGAACTAAGACTAGGACTGAGCAGGCATGATGACATTTTCTGTCACCTTGGTTTATATTTTTTCATCAAGTACAGGAGAAAATATGTGTTTGTTTTTTACTTGAACATTTAATTATTATTATGATGCCTATATGAAAGTTAGTGCATCAACTGAGAGGAGAATGGGTAAAGAGAATTCAAAGTTTTGTTTTTATACATAGACAGTATGCTACTTGTGATTTGGTTCAAAATATTTTAAATATTTAATAGATTTCTTAAAACTATCATACAGCTGGTATTTTTTAGTTTATAGACATTTCATTCATTTTCATACTGACTTCATTAATTTCCTTAGTCTATCATGTTTATTGGATTTTTTTTTTTAAATAATGAACTTGTCCCTTTTTTAATGATTTTCGCCAGTTGTAGTTGTAATTAAGGTAGCTGATAGTTTCAAGAAGAACTGGCATTAGTGGAAGACGAACCAGTAGATTTGTTGGTTGAAGCTTGGTTAGTTAAAGAAAACTTGTTCAGAAGCCATAGTAGTTGTAACCTGGGATCTTAGGAGTGCCTGAACTAGAAATTGGAGAAGTCATTGAATGAAAAAAGCTGAAAGTATTAATAAAAATTTAGATTTTGTTTGGCTATGGGGCTGGATTGTGCTGAAACTGTATAGTGGAAAAGTTGTTAGAAACATTCAAGTGAGGCGAGTGGAGCAAGAGATTTGGAAGTTAAAGAATGTTATGGGAAACGAAGTATTTGAAGTTGGAGACTAAGGTAGAGAAAAAGGGAGAAATTTGGGTAAAATAGAATTCCTATTCTATTTCATTTTTGTAATTGTAGGTTAATAGTATTTGAAAAAGTTGTGTGGTTTCAAGCACAATTTGTTTATTTTTACCATAAGGAAACAAAAATAGTAAAACGTAAGTTGTATTCAAGTTGTTCAAAACTTCGTATACTTATCAAGTGGCCAGAATTACTTTAATACTTCTTGAAAACGATATTTTAGGTAAAGGTGTGCAGCCTGGAATTACAAATTATCGTTTCAAATATAAAAGATAATAATACAAACTTCAAATGCTAAAGCCTGGCGTTCTTGTAAGGTTGTGGCTTTGCAGAAAACTGTCTTAAATAAATCTGTGACTGAACACAGTTGTTTAACCGTTATAAAATGTTCAATAATATACACCTGGAAAAAAAAGTTAAGCACCCCCG